ATGGAAATTGATGATGTTACCAAGAGAGACAGAATTCTTAATGTTTTTTGTATCATGGACACTTTGACAGTCTGATAAAGTTTATGAACCCCCTTCTCAAAATATTTTCAAAGGCATAAAATAAAATGTACAGGATTACAAGGAAAATAAAAGATTCATGAAAATAAAGTTATATTTTTGTTTCCTATTCCCATTCAGAGACCTCCTAAATATACATCAATTAACACCTCTAAGGGTCTGTGGAACCCAGGTTAAGAACCCCTGGTATTGAGGGGAAAGAAAGAAGGCCTAGTAGAAAAACATGCACAGTTAAGGAGCATGATATGGATCAGGTGGTACTGAGGAATGGTCAAACAAGTAGGAGGTAAATTAGATGAGAACAATGCCATGAAGCCTAGAGAGGAAAAAGTATTCAGGGAAAGATGGTCCTTAACAATGTGAAAAGCAACAGATGGATAGAGAAGGATTAGGACTGAGAAAATACTATCAAATTTGGCAATTATGGTCACTGATGTATTGTTGGTGGAACTGTGAACATCAAATATAGGATTTTGTACTTGATCCTGGAGGTGATGGAGATGATTCCTAGGTTGCGAGACTCAAGGACTAGGAGGGCATCTAGATGGTATGGTAGATAGAGAACAGGGAGTCAGGAAAACTTAAGTTCAAATCTGACCTTAGACACTTAGTAACTGTGTGATCCTAAGCACCTTAACCCTGTTTGCTTCAATTTCTTCATCTGTAAAATGAATTGGGGAAGGAAATGGCAAACCACTCCAGTATCTCTGCTAAGATAAACCCAAATGGGGTCACAAAAAGTCTGAAATGACTGAAGTGACTGAACAATTACAGTAATAGCAAAAATAGGAGAGGGAGGGTTTGGGGAGAAAGATAATCAGTTCTGTTTCAGGTATGCTTAGCATAAGATGTTTCCTGGACATTGGAGATGTCTAAAAGGTAGCTGTAGATACAAGTTTGAAGGTCAACAGAGAGGCTGGGGCAGGATAGGTAGATTTAAGGATAATCAGCATAGAGATAGCAATTAAATACATAGGAGCTGAGTGAGATCACTAAGTAGAAAAGTAGAGAGAGAAAAAAGAAGAGGACTCAGGATAGACCCATATAGGGTATTTATGGATGGAGGGTATGATCTGGATGAGGATCCTGCAAAGGAGACTTGGAAGGAACAGTCAGATGGGGAGAAGGAGAATCAGGAGAGAGTGGTGTCCTGAAAACCTAGAGAGAAGAGAATGTCAGGGTAGAGAGGATGATCATCGGTGTCAAAAGCCACAGACAGGTCAAGGAGAATGAGAATTGAGAAAAGGATTTGGCAACTAAGATCAGTGGTAACTTTGGAGAGAACAGTTTTAGTGGAATGATAAGGTTGGAAGCCAGATTATAAGGGGTTAAGAAGAAAGTATGAGGGGAGAAAGTGGAGACACCTATTGTACATGACCTTTTTTGAGGAGTTTAGCTACAAAGTTCTTTTTTGGGGGGGGGACTTTTAATTTTTTTATTAATTTATTTGATTTATCAACAATCACTTACATATGCTTTTGAGTTTAAAATTTTTCTCCCCCTTCCTCCCCACCACCCTCCCCAAGACAGCATACAATCTGATATAGGCTATACATATACATTCCTATTAAACATGTTTTCATATTAGTGATGTTGTAAATAAGAATTAGAACCAATAGGAGGAACCACCAGAAAGAGGAAACAAAACTCAACAGAAGAGAAAAAAAATAGCAAATAGTATGCTTCAATCTGCATTCAAATTCCATAGTTCTTTCTTTGGATGTAGATAGCATTTTCCATCACGAGGCCTTTGGAAATGTCTTAGATCCTTGATGTATTGCTAGGAAGGGTTAAATTTATCAGTATTAGTCATTGCACAATGTGGCTGTTATTCTGTACAATGTTCTCCTAGTTCTACTCACTTCACTCAGCATCAGACCATACAAGTTTTTCCAGGTTATTCTGAAATCAGCCTGTTCATCATTTCTTATAGCATAATAGTATTCCATTACATTCATATGCCACAACTTGTTCAGCCATTCCCCAATTGATGGGCATCCTCTCAATTTCCAATTCTTTGCCACCACAAAAAGAGCTCCTATAAATATTTTTGTCCATGTGGGTCCTTTTCCCATTTCTATTATTTCTTTGGGATATAGCCCTAGAAGTGCTATTGCTGGGTCAAAGGGTATGCACATTTTTACAGCTCTTTGGGCATAGCTCCAAATTGCTCTCCAAAATGGTTGTATCATTTCAAAACTCCACCAACAATGCATTAGTATCCCAATTTTCTCACATCTTTTCCAACATTTATAATTTTCTTGTTTTGTCATCTTGGCCATTCGGATAGGTGTGATGTGGTACCTCAGAGTTGTTTTGATTTGCATTTCTCTAATCAATAGTGATTTAGAGCATTTTTTCATATGACTATAGATGACTTTAATTTCTCCATCTGAGAACTGCCTGTTCATATCCTTTGATCATTTATCAATTGGGGAATGACTTGTATTCCTATAAATTTGACTTAATTCTCTATATATTTTAGAAATGAGGCCCTTATCAGAGACACTGGTTATAAAAGTTCTTTCCCAATTTTCTACCTTCCTTCTAATCTTAGTTACACTAGCTTTGTTTATGCAAAAACTTTTCAATTTAATGTAATCAAAGTTATCCATTTTGCGTTTCATAATGTTCTCTATCTCCTGTTTGGTCATGAATTCCTCTGTTCTCCATAAATCTGATAGGTAAACTATTCCTTAGCTACAAAGTTCTAAAGAGATATAGGGCAATAGTTAGCAGGGGTAGAAGGGTTAAGTAACGGGTTTTTTTCAGGATGGGGAGACATGAGCATCTTTGCAGGCAGTCAGAAATGAACCTGTAGAGAGGGAGAGATTGAAAATAAGTGAAAAAGTGGGGATGATAGAAGGGGCAATCTGTTGGAGGAGACAGGATGGAATAGGATCACTTGACCAAGTGTAGGGCTTAGCCTTTATTGTGTGAGACAGGGTTCAAGGGGGAGATAATGACAGAAGGCATCTGAGTGACAGGAGACAAGGAAGAAGGAGGAAGAGAGAGTTCACGGCAAATGGCCTCAATTTTTTCTGTAAAATATGAGGCAAAGTTCTTTTCAGAGAGTTGGGGAGAGGGGCATGGGAAGTATGAGGAGAGATGAAAAAGTCTGGAAGAGCTGCTGTGGAGAATGGAATAGGGATTTAATGAGAGAGATATGGTAAGATTGCCTAGCAGCAGTGAGGGTCCAGTTGAGGTTACATAATATAAATTTGTAGTGGACCTAGTCAGAATGGTTGTGGTTTTCTCTTACTTTGTTTAGCAGTATATGTGTAGGAGAAAAGGCAATGAATAGTAGAAATGATCCAAGACTGAGGCTTGGCTGGGTGTAATTGGCAATATGATAAAGGGGATAGGGACTCAAGAGAGGAAGGAAGACAGGAGAGAGTTGAACTGGTTCAACAAGGAGTCAATAGAGGGAGGAGAGGAAAGAGAAGCTAGCACAGGGAAATTGGCCTGGGAGAGATTTTAGGGGTCAAAAGGTTAGAGGTTATGATGCAGATGAAGAGTAGGATTATATAAGAGAAGGCAGGAGAGGCACAAAACCAGTGGATTAAGGTCAGATAAGGGGATTTCAAAATTCTTGAATATGGAGGTGGTATATTTGTGAGTGAAGGCAAGATCGAAGGTATGACTACCTTTGTGTGTGATTGAGGTGAGGTGGAGGCATAGCTCATGGGAGGTGAGCAGATTGAAGGTCTGAGTGATTAGGGTGTCTGAAGGAAAATCGATGGGTGTGTTGTAAGTCCTCTAGTATGAGTTTGCACTTTTTCCCCACAAAAGGTCTTCAAATACCCAAAGACAGTGATTATATCTGTAACACTGTAAGAATAATTAGCCTATTTTCAACCCACTAGACCATACAATGGCCCCTAACATCCATATACTTCCCTTCTCTTCAGCTTTAGGGAGTTTATTTTGGATGAAACATTGAGCTTAGTCACCATTGTTCAGAGCCACTGTTAGGAAAATTCTTAACATTTAGGCAGAGGATGAGCTCTCCCTCTAACCTTACATTTATATCTATCTCTACTTAATTGCTGGCCTCTTTATGTTTAAGGCAAAAGTTAGTTTACTGGAAACATTTGAGAAATGAAACAGCAGATTGTATTAGAGTGTCTCTGGATAAACAGACTCTTGGAGAGAAACGTGGACAAAGAGCCAATTTTTCTTGGGCCTTTCCTGAGGCCAAGTCTTCTGATGTCTGCAGAGCCAATGACTCTTCTTGATATCTCCTTCCTCTACCACAGCTCAATCCTACTTTTTGTTCCTCAGGCATGTACTGGAAGGTCATACTCACTCCAACCTTTCTAATGAATCTTTTTTCCAATTTCCTTGATGATTTATTGATGACTTCCAGAGCCAAGTTTCCTCAGCCTATCAGCACACAATTCTTTTTATTGAGTAAACCAATTATGCCATGCCTTTTCTTCCTTAGACTTATTTAAACCTTCCTTGGAATCAAAGTTCAGGTTCTTACTTAAGATAACCAAAAAATTCCCCTCACAATCAAAAAGTAAACCAGATTTTGGTTCATGAGTCTAGTTTCCTAATAGTCATATATGCTCACATTTGTGTAGTAAATTTATTCTTTTTAAAGGATCTTCGTGTGGAGTTTTTCATTTGACTTTCAGGACATCCTCTGGGAAGTCAGCAGGAAAGAGATAATTTAATAAAGCAACTGAATTCAAGTGACTTGCCAAAAGTTTCATTACTAATTAGTAACAGAGTAAAGCCTGGAACCCGAGTGTCCTCGTCCTACTCTAGTTTCTTTTCCCTGATTGCCTAAGATGGCCTTCAACCTTGGAAAATGAGAAACTTGTGCCTGGAATGGGATGAAATTCTCATCAGATACATCTCCTCAACCCTCCCCGCAAGCTAATATTTTTTTTTCTTTCATCTTTCTTCCTTAGTCTGAGACATCACTGGAAATGATGGGACATCAGTTGGCTTTGTTCAGTCTTCTTTGGAGAGATGAGAGTGAAGAAAACCAGCACTGTGCTCGACAGTGCATTTTGCTCCTCATACGGCTCCTGATACAAGAAAGTGAGAGCCCTAGACGGGAAGAAATAAAAAGTGGTTGTAGTCTGCTCTAACTAACTGTGTGACCCATAAGTCTCTTACTTTCTTTCTCTGTGGACATTAGCCTCCTTGGTTGTTAAATGGGAATGATAGTAGTCATTCTACCTTCATGACAGAAGTTGCAATCCAACAACATAATGGATATGACCATGCTTTAAAAGTATTAATTGTTTGGGGGGAAAGAACAACTTTGAATGAGTAGATGTTGGAATAAACCCTAGATGGACTGGAATAAAATTTCTGTCAGCTTCTGTGACTCACTCAGCTACTTTGAGGGACATCCAGGGCCATGGCATTAATGTTTTGCCAACCTGAGAATGTTAGAACCTGTAACTATCCATAGGAGTTCTTGTATGGAATTTAGGTGGCTTGTTGTTGTTTGCTTTGAGGGTGAAGTGTTAGGAAGTGGAAATTAACTGTGAAGTTCAATTATTCAGTCTTATGAGAGTTGCCTGTGTGTTTGCTGATCTGATGATAATAATAATACCCAGCATTTATATACAGTTAGCCTCTAAGGTTTATAAAACACTTTACATATGTCACCTCATTTGATCCTCACAACTACCTGTAAGATAGGTGCTTCTATTATTCCCATTTTCCAAATGAGGAAACTGAGGCTGAGAGGCATTCAATGACTTGCCCAGAGTCACACAGCTAGTTAGTATCTGATGCAGTATATAAAATGAGGTCTGCCAATACTCCGTCCATTGAGGTCTCATTCTACCACCTGAAAGAAACATTCCAAAGTGCCTTTCCCTAAGGGTGTGGGGGTGGGAGGAGGAGGTGGTGGTTAAGAAAGGGAGGATTTCCTTGTTAGATCCAACCTCATAAGGAACTCTTTGGGTGGATGGGTCTTAAGAAATCCAAAGGGATAAAACGAAGCCACCAATACGACCACCATTGAACAAGCTATCAGAATGGGGAGAAAGTTGTAGGTGTGGATGTTTATTTATTTTTAAAATTTTGTGTAGATTTCAGTTAACACAGAATCTTACAGCTAGAAGGAGTCTCAGCAGTGGAGAAGTCAAGAGAGGAGAGACCACAGAAAGAAGGAATGAGGGTTTTAAATCAGATTACATGATTCTGGAGTCAGGACATTTTATTGTAAAATAACAATTCTATTTTGAGATTTGTAGCACTTTTCTCACAATAAACTTGTGAGGTAGGTAGGATAAATATCATCTCCCCCATTTTACTGGTGATGAAACTGAGGGTGCAGATAGTTAGGGTGACTTGCCTGATCAAATCCCTTGTAAGCAGTGCTTGACTCAAGTTCAGATCTCCTGACTCCAAGTACAGTGATCTTGCCACCACTCCATGATTCCCTTCATTACAATGAAGCACCAGCCTGATGCCAATGACTATTTTTGTCAAGTTGCCATTAAGATAATCCTAGAATTTTAAAATTTGAAGAAATCTTAGAGATCAGCTAGCTCAACTATTCCATTTCACCTAGATGGAAACTGAGTTTCTGGGAAGGGAAGTGTTTTTCTTATACCCAATTAGTGTTAGAATCTATATGAGAACTCAACTGTCATAGACCCTCTGAATTGGAAAGGATCTCAAAGGCCACCTAGTACAACCCGTAACTGAACAGCACTTAGATTATTCCAGGATGTAGTCATTAAGCCTTTGCCTAATGGTCACATACTAGACCCTGGAGGAAGACCTTTGGTCAGAGGAAACCTACTGCCTCCTAAGGTAGCCTATTCTAGTTTGGAACAACTAATTATTAGGGAACTTTTCATTATTTTGAACTTAGATGTCCTTTTGAAACTTCTGCCTTTAGATCTTACATTTAACCAGAAAAAAATCTTTTCCTTCAATATGTCAACCCTTCAAGCATTTGAAGACAACTATCATGTCATCTCAAGTCTTCACTCCAGGTTAAACATCTCAAGCTGTTTAAATAGTTTAAGTGTGGTGTCCTTTCTAATAGTCCTCCTACCATCCAGTTTGCGCTGTTCAGTCTACACTTCAATTTTCCAATGTCCTTTTTTTTCAATATGGCATCTGAATTTTCCAGTGAAAGTATCTCAAATGTACTTCTTTATGCTAGGGACTGAGGAAAACATTAAGTGCCTATGTACATTAAAGCAAATGAAGAATTTGGACGTGAAGTTGTCGAAGGAAGGGAACAAAAATTGCTCCCATCTGGTAAAGGTAAGTATCTCCAGTCTATGGGGCTTCAGGGAGACAAGGAGATAAGAGGACCATGATGTCAGGATGTGTGTGCTTCTAGCTATAGATTCTCACAGCATATTAACTGGCAGAAACCTTAGGGTTTCTCTAGTCCAACCTCCTACCTTGACAGGGGAGGAAACTGGGGCCCAGAGAAGTGAAATGTGTTGCCCAAAGTCATGCATAGTGCTTGCCTTAGAATCTCAGATTTTAAGTGACTTCAAGGGGTATTCAAGTATCATCCTTTGCCTGGAGCATGGATTCTTTTAATGACATCTCTTACACAGTGGTTATACAAATTCTTCTTGAGCACTATACTCCCTCTTGAGGTAGCTCACTCTAACTTTGGATAGCTTGAATTGTTAACAAGTTCTTTTTTTTATGTTACACTGACATTGTCCTTCCTGTAACTTCTACCCATTGCTCCTTTTCTCAGGGGGCAAGTGAACTGGTTTGCTCCCTCTTCCCCACGATAGTTATTCAGATATTTGAATGAAAGAACATGTTCCTCTTTTTCCCATCTTCCCCTTCTCCAGGCTGAACATCTCCCTTCCTTCAACTAATCATTACATGGCATAGTTTCAAGGTTCTTGTCATCCCTGTCAATGGCAGAAGTTGAGACTAGACCCTAGGTTATCTGACTCAAAATTCAGTGTTCTTCACAATTTCCCAGCTTGCTTCAGTTTCCTTATCTCAATCTTCTTCCATTCTGATTAGCAGCATCTTATAGCAGGAAGTATACCACTTTGATTTAGATAATTTACTCTGTGACCTGAGGCATATCTCTCAGTTTTGGTTGACACAATTTCCAAGGAGTAGGTAAGAGCCTTGAGAGTAGGGAACAGCTGAGGATTGATGTTCAGAAAAAGTTTCTGACTAGAAGAAACAGTGAATACAAAAAGACATTTAACCACTAGGGAACATTGCTGCCTGAGTACCTGAATATTGATAAGGGCTAGGGATTCTCAGAGAAATGGTTACTTCTGCCCCTTTTGTGGGTGGCAGGGCTTTATTCATTGGTCTAGGTGTGCGACATCTGTAGATCTATCCAAATTGTCTGTTGGCTCAGCCCCTACTCACTAGAAACTTTTCCTTCTTCCCTTCATGCTGCATTTCAGCAAAGTCATACTAGCCACATAATGGTATTGATCATAGAAGGAAGACAGGAAGGGAAGGAGGGAAAAAAGAAAGTGGTGGGAGGAAAAACCCAAGTATTTATTCAGTACCTACTATGTTCACCAGATACTTACAAATATTACCTCTTTTGATCCTCACAATAATCCTGGGAGATAGGTAGTATTATTATCTCCATTTTACAATTGAGGAAACTATTGTTTAATTGAAAACAATTCTTTACCAATACCAATAAAAGTAAAAAAAAAAAAGGTTAAAATCACAAACCCATGGCTCCTTCCAGAGCTAGATAGCCCTTAGCCAATCTGTAGGCATTCCCCAAACCCAGGAATTCCAGGAACATAGTTAAAGTGCTAAGACTGAGACCTTATCAATCACTCATACAGGGAACCAAGAAGTTCTTACAATATTATTCCACTCACGTCCTCCCAGAGGGTCAATATTCACTGATTAAGGTAATTTGTAACTCAAAGTACTGATTACTTTTCTGGTCAATTTTTCTTGCTCACTTGTTGCTGGTTGTGACCTCTGAGTCTTCTTCATTGTTCAGGTAAAGGGCAATCCCAGATATAGAAACTCCTCCAATACCTTCAAATCTTCTGTCCTTAGATTTTCCATGTCTTTCTACTGCACCCTACATCACTTCTTTTTCTGTCTCTCTTTGTATCCTCCTTCTGCAGTTCTTCTTATAGTACATCCCTGAACAAGGAACTCGTATTTAAAGCATCAATGACTTAGTGTTTTAATCAGTCTAAAAACTCTACAATTTTCCCTTATGTGGCCCCAAATCTCTTTTGGGGGGTGGTATTATTCTCAACTTCCTTGTTTTACTTTGCTCATTCTGAGTTTTGGTACTTTTACATTATCATTATAGGACCTATCCACACTCTTGAATTCATCATCCATTGCCTGCCTTACATGCACATGTCTTTTCAAAAATATTTAATTTAGTTGAAGAGTAACTGGTATATTCCTATTGGGATGGTTAAAAAATTTTCCTCTTTCTATTCATAGGAAATGTCTTTTTCTGACTTCAGAATTTTGTTCTTAAGGGTTTCCCATCCCTCCTGGGTTGACTATTCCTTGCACAATTTTAGATCATGGCACCTTACTTAGCCTTTCTCTGAACCTTTGAAATTTTATGTCTCACCATCTACATGTCAGAATATTTCCAGTTTTCCTGTCTTTCAGTATCACAGATTTTAAAATGGAGTGGTCTTCTCCACTCTTCTAAGGTTTCCATTATCTTCACCCCAGCAACCAGTTCTTCCTTGTTGAGAAAAATCATACCTAGAGGAGCAGTGCTCCCCGTTGGTTCCTACACCTTTAGTGAAGCTATCATTAAAGCAAGGCAAAAAGTTATATTCATAAGTGATATTCCATAGTAGACCATAGCTTGACAATCACGCAATTGACTGAAAGGGTTAAAGAATACACAATTGGACTCTCTACCTTTGTAGACTATAAAGAACAACAACAACAATAACAATAATTAGTTTGATAAAGCAAAATGCTGCCTTAAAGACTTTCCTACTACCTTCCCTATGTCTCTCATGCCTCAATTTAGTCTTCAGCTCTTGGTCTAGTCCGCAAATGAACAATGGTTTGGGGCCAGAATTGAACAGCATAAGGACAGCAAACTTTGGGAAATTACATAGTTCTTCTGATGAATAGTTCCCCCCAAAACAAAGGCTCATCATTTAAACACTAATATCCTTCTGGAATATAGCTTCCAGATGTATTCTATCATCTATAAACAACTGAAGTTTAGCATCACCCAAAAACCAAACAAAAGATAGGTACATGATGAGTATGGGCAAGTTGCAATACATTTTAAGAGATGAATACACAGGAAAAGTGATATAAGAGATCACAGATGAGAAATGTATGACCAGAATAAAGATGGTCAGGTCAAATAGAAAGGGCAAGCTAATTGATGGATAGTTCCTATGATTCATAGTATCCACTAAATGTGAAGGGTCCTTAAGGAAGGCCCCCATCATGCTGAGTGGGCCTTCTGTGGCATATTTATGGGAAGACAGAAATGAGAGTCACTTGAGATGGGGTAGAATAGAAGGGTTGCCACCTGCATTGTTGGAGGAAATACACTGATGAAATCATGGTTGCACTGAAAGAGTATTTTCCCCAGAGTCAAATGTTGGGCTTTGCACACACTGAGTAGTTCTTTGAAAGGAAAAATGGGGAGTGAAAAAAGCAGGTGATTAGTAACTAGAGGACCTGATTTTTAAATCCAACTTTGTTACCTACTATTGGTTTGATATTGAACAAGTCACTCAAATTCTCTGAGTGTCAGTGTCCTCATCTATAAAATAAGCAGACTGTACTGGATGATCTCTTCTAGCTCTATGTCCTATCATCTGATAATAAATGTTTTTTGAAAATTCAATGGATGAATAAAACCATTAGTGAATCATGATTGACTATAAAGAAGCTCAGCTTTGATACAGAGAGCACAGAATGGAGATGGAGTGTTTATGTGTGAGTCAGAGCACCTATAGTAGAAGGAACATTGAATTACTGCATGTGCATTTGCAGAAAATGTATATATAAAATGATATAGTGGAAGGACTACAGGGTTTGTCTTGGTTTTCCTTCCCTTGACCATCATTTCAGTGTATGTATGTACGTATGTGTATGCATAGGCATGTACACTACTATGGGTTCTTAGTTCAGATGCATGGCTTGATAGCTCTGTTACCTTCATATGGTTTATATCAGTGTGGGAATACATCATGATGTTAGCTGTGGAATCACATGCAGTCAAGTACTACTTATTTGGATCATGTAAGTTGGGTCTATATACTCGGCCTAAGTAAGATTGATCTGACTTTCACTCATTTCAGATTCTTTGAGAACCAGTGGTTCCTCCTATTACTAGGAAACTGTCACCTTTCACCTGGCCCCAGTAGGACTTAGCTCTCTAAAAGATAATTCCTTGATTCTTGGCTTTTACAGGTATTTGGACAAAACCTCTCAGTGAATCAAAATACCCAACTCATCCTGACCTTCCTGAATGGCCTAAAGAGCAACAACCAAGTCCAAGCAAATCTGGCTTTGGAGTTGTTTAACCATTTCCTAGAAACCCAAGGACTCAAGATTGAGCAGGTAAGAAGCTTTCCCTTCTGAGAAAAAATGGAAGGATGGTGACATAATATTGCTCTGTACTGGGAAAGCTGCCCTAAGAGTACTGGGGGAGGGGAATCTGGACAGGAGTAAAGAATTCTTCCTGAGGTCACTAAAGAGTTGGCCATATAACCTTGGACTCCCAGAGTTGAATAGAAACTCAAAGACCATCTAATCTAAATCACATTTGAAGGGCTTTGAGAATGGGGATAGAGTCGGGACAATTTTTCAGGTGGTTATTGATGATTTATGTTTCTATCCTTTTCTTTTCTCTTTGACAACTGCTTATTTATGTCATTAATCACTTATCAATTGGGGGCCTCCAGATCATGCCATATGAAGATCAATTTAAGGAAATGAAGATGATTATCCTGAGGAATAGAATATTTAGGGGAATCATGATAGTTGACTTCAAGTGTCTAAATAATTATCATGAGGAAAAGGGCTTAGCCTTGTTCAGCTTGGCCCCAAAAAGCAGAACTCAGAGCAACTAATGGAAGTTGCAGAGGGGTCAAATTAGGCACAATGATCCCAGTTTTCATGTTATTTGCAAATTTGATAAGCATACCTAGCTATGCTTTTAGCCAAGTCATGTGTGGTTTTGGACAGCACATGGTCAAGATTGAACTTTTTGGGCTCTCTATTGGAGAACTCCTTTTGAATTGACATATATGTGTGTGTGTGTGTGTGTGTGTGTGTGTGTGTGTGTACATATATGTGTATGAACTTTCCAGTGACTCCCTCCACCCGCCCCTAATAAGGCTCTTTCTTGAAATAAAGAAATACAGTTAAGCAAATCAACATATTGTCCTTGTCTAAAAATGTATGCCTTATTTTGTATTTCTCAAAGAAGTAGAAGTAAGGAAGGAGTACATTCTAGGCATAGGGGATCACATGTGTAAAGATGGGAGATGGTTTGTCATGTGACTATTCACCATATCTTGAATATTTCCCCCCCTCCTCACTTCTACCTTGTGGGTTTTTTGGCTTCCTTCAAGACTCAGTTCAAATCCTATCCTCCACAAGCAACCTTTCTTGGTTTCCCAGCTGCTAGTGCCTTCCCTTCTGAGATTACCTTCTTTCTGTTCTGTATATATCTTGTATAGCATACTTATTTATTTAGACATTGTCTTTTCCATTAGAATATGAGCTACTTAAGATAAGAGACTACTTTGGTCCTTCTTTGTATCCCTAACACTTAGCACAAAGTCTGATACATAGTATATGTTTAAGAAATTCTTGTTGACTGAAAAACAGCAAGAAAGACTGTATGACTGGATTGTAGAAAGCGTGAAGGAGAGTAGTATATAATTAGGCTGGAAATGTGAATTGGATCCAGGTGGTCAAGGACTTTAAATGGCAAATGTAGAAGTTTGTATTTGATCCTAGAGGTCATAGGGAGCCAGTGGCATTTATTGGACAGGCAAATGATATAGTCAGACCTGTACTTTAGGAAATAACATTGGTAGCCATGTGAAGGATGGATTAAAGAAGGAAGAAATGAGGCAAGGAGACACATTAGAAAGCTATTGCATTAATCCAAATGAGAGATGATGAGAGACAGTGATGGCCATAAAAGTAGAGAGAAATGGACAGATGTGAGAGATATTGTGTAGGTATAATTAACAAGATTTGGCAACTGATTGGATATGTGAGGTAGGTGAGGGATACTCTAAGGTTTTGAACCTGGGTAACTGAAAATATAGTAGTTCTCTCAATAGAAATAGAGAAGTTAAGAAAAGGAATGGATTTGGAGTAAAGATAATAATTCAATTTTGAAAATGTTAAGTTTGAAGTGCTTATGGGTCATTCATATCGAAATGTTCAATAACTAACGGTGATTCAGGACTGGAGCTCAAGAGATAAATTAGGCCTAAAGCTATAGATCTGAGAGTTATCTGCATAGAGGTAATCATTAAATCCATGAAAGCTGAAAAGACCACTAAGCCAGGAAAGGACCAAGGACAGAACTTTGAGGTATACCCACAGATAAAGGAAGCCATATGAATGAGGAATCAGCAAGAAGTCTGAGAAGAAATGGTTAGACAAGTAAGAGAACCAAGAGAGAGTGGTCATAAAAATTCAGAGAGGCAAGAGGATCCAGAAGAAAATGGTTAACAACATTAGATGTTGCAGAGACGTAAAAAAGAATGAGGGTTGAGAAAGGCCAGGAGATTTGACAATTAAGAGATCGTTGGTCACTTTGGAAAGAGCTCTTTCAACTGAGTGATAGTCACAAACCAGAATACAGAGGAATTATAGAAGAGGAAGTGGAGAAAAGCAAAGTAGACAGATTTAACTAGGAGTTTGTCTTTGAAAGGTAGAAGAGATATAGAACAATAGCTTGAGGGGATGGAAGAATCAAGTAAGAGTTTTGTTGTTTGTTTTTGTAGGAGAGGGAACCTGTACCTAGAGAGAGATTAAAGATGAGAGAGTGAGAGACAGAGAGACAAAAATACAGTGAGAGGAACAGAAAAGATATTTTTGTGGGAGTAATCTGCCAGAGAATACAGGAAGGGAGAGGATCAAAGGTACCAGCATGATCATTTCACAGAATCATAGACTCTCAGATCTGGAAGGGCCCTCAGACGACATATAGTCCACCTCCTACCTAAACCAAAATCCCCTCTATAATATGCCTTATAAGTGATCATCCAACTTTTACTTGAAAAGCTTCAGTGATAGGGAATTTATTAGCTCTAAATATGAACTGTTCTACTTCTGAATTAAGCTCAAACTGATGGAAGTTTTTTTCCCCCTTTTATCAACCCTAATTTGTTTACCCATTCTCCACCTGGTGGGCACCCCCTCAATTTCCAATTCTTTATAGGACATTAGGGTACCTATTTTCCAACATTGTCTCTGGCATTTGTTATTTTCATTTTCTGTCATCTTAGCCAATCTGTTGAGTGTGAGGTGGTACCTCAGAGTTGTTTTAAATTGTGCTTTTCCAATTATTATTGATTTAGAGCATTTTTTCTTATGATGACTGACAGCTTTGATTTCTCCAAAAACTCTGAAAACTTCCTGTTGATATCTCTTGACCATTTATCGAAAGAAGAATGACTCTTAATCTTATAAATTTGGCTCAGTTTCATTTATATTTGAGAAATGAGAGCTTTATCGGAGAAACTTGCAGCCAAGATTGTTTCCTCTGGTTTCTTTCTTTTCTTCTAATTTTGGCTACATTGGCTTTGTTAGTGCAAAACTTTTAAATTTTATATAATCAAAATTGTCCATTTACCTCCCATAAACCTCTATATCTCATGTTTTATCATGAACTCCTCTCCTAGCCATACAGCTGACAGGCAATTTCTTTCATGATCCACTAATTTGCTTATGATATCACTCTTTATGTCTAAATTATGTACCTTATCTTTGTATATAGTGTGAGATGTTGGCCTTTGCCTAGTTTCTGTCAGATTGCTTTCTAGTTTTCCTAGTAGTTTTTGTCAAATAGAGAATTTTTGTCCCAATAACTGGGAACTTGGGGCTTATCAAACCTACGTTATTGCATTTTGCTTCTATATATTGTGTACCTAATCTGTTCCATTGATCAAGATCTTTATTTCTTATCCAGTGCCAAATTGTTTTGAATGATTATAGCTTTGTAGAGTAGTTTGAAATCTTGTACTACTAGATACCCTTCCTTCACAACTTTTTTTCATTGACTCCTTTGGTATTTTTGACCTTTTGTTCCTCATCCTCCAAATGGGTTTTGCTATTATTTTTCTAGTTCTAGATTGGTATGGTGTTGAATAAGTAAATTAATTTAGGTAATGTTGTTATTTTTATTATTTTAACTTGACCTATCCATGAGCAATTAATATTTCTCTAATTATTTCAATCTGTATTTGTGTGAAGAGTGTTTTGTGATAGTGTTCATATAGTTCTTATATGTGTCTTGGTAGGTATATTTCCAAGTATGTTGTACTGTCTGTAGTTATTTTAAATAGAATTTTTTGACTGGGCTGAGCAAAGATTGTGGAGTAAAAGCAGTGACTTGCTTGAGCTCTCCCCCAAACCCCTCCAAATACCTGTAAAAATGACTCTAAACAAATTCTAGAGCAGCAGAACCCACAAAAAGACAGAGTTAAACAAATTTCCAGCCCAAGACAACCTGGATGATTGATGGGAAAGGTCTATCATGCCAGGCTGGGAGAGAAGCCTAATTTATCGTGGGCACGCAAGCAAAGACCAGGTCTCAGTGAACCTGGAGCGGCCCGAGGGGACTGAATCATGGACAGCTCTGGTAGTTTCCAGACTTCTCAACCCAGAAACACCAAAGACAACTTAAAAGGTCAGTAGGAAAAGTCTGTTGGACCGTGGTGAGAGAAAAGCTTGGTCCCAGCCCCAGTCCTGGTGCAGCCCTGGGGTGGCTTCTGCTTCTGCTCTCGACCCATAGACAGAGGGGAAATCATGTGGCTGATCAGAGAGGGGTTATGAGGATCTCTTTGCTGGTGCTGAGGCAGGATTCTCTGTCTGTTCTTGGATCTGTGTCGCAGTTCTGGGTGGTGGTTCTGGGGCAAGGAGGAGTGCTGGTGTGGTAGAATCCTCCTCAATTTCAAGGCAGAAAAGAGTGCTTGTGGTCACTCATAAACTAGAGCCCAGGCTAGGAAAGGAGTTAACACTTCACCCTTGATCATACCAACTTGGAAAAGAATTGAAAATTTACAGGTCCCTAGAAGTATCTCTGAAAACAGCTGCACAAAACCCCCAAAACTTGGGACAATACATTCTCCACACTGGAGGCAGACCTCTATATTAACAAAGAGTTTAAAACTCAAGTAATTGGCTGGGAAAATGAGCAAACTGCATAACAAAAAGTCAGTCCATAGAATCTTTCTTTGGTGACAAGGAAGATCAAAACATACAATCAGAAGAAGACAACAAAGTCAACATCCAAAGCCTCCAAGAAAAATATGAATCAGTCCCAGGCCATGGAAGAGCTCAAAAAGGATTTTGAGAGGCAAGTAAGAGAA